CTGGCAAGGTTTGGGTTCGTTTGGTTACTTTGGTTTGAGCGCGCAGACATGTTACTAACTGCTCAAGCTAGAATGGGAAGCGCTTCCTGTAAGGTTCCACCCCTACCTGGGAGCCCCTTAGAAAAAATTTTGAATGACTGGTCAACCTATAGCTATGATCCAATGACAAAGAAAAATGGCCTAAAAATGGGTCTCTTACAATTAGATCTTTATTGCCACAGGATGGGAAAATGGACTGAGGTTCCCTTATGTCCAGGACTTTCTCCTATAATTGAAAGCCTGAGGAATCAGAAAAACTCTCCTGGCTCAGGGAGGAAAACAAGCCTCCCCCACTTCTGCATGTTCCCTTACTCCTTCAGATTGTTCTGATAAGCCTTAGTAGACCCTGGAACGTGGAATATCGAGGTTCCCGGCTTGGCCAAAGATATCCAGCCGGTGATATTAAGTAGAAGGGTTATATAGTGTCTAAATATAAGGTACCAATTTCTTAAACGTAGGGAAGATCCTCAAAAAATGTTTATAAATAGATTACCAAAATAGGAGGCCACTGGTCTGACTAAACTAACCATAGCTGATATTCAGAGCCTGATAGGAATTTTGGAAGAGGACTCCTCCCCTAAGCTAAATGAGGAAAAGTAAAACTTTCCAACATGGGTGAATGGGTATGTCAGTCCTTCAATATCATTGAGGTAGTCACCCAATTCTTTGAAAAAGAAAACAAAACTGTCCTTGTTTTACGAATGTAGTCTTTACAGGACCAGAGGTGTGGCTCCGAAAATAATCCAAAACCCACCAATCTCTTTCACCACTCCCAAAACCTTCCCTATTTATCTTAAGAGGCTTATAAGTATTAAACAAAAGGGAAACAAAGTCATCCTAGGAGGAACTTGCCTGTACCATTGAGATGCAAATGTCCTATCTGGTCTTCTCAGGAACACTTAGCTCTGCCATCTTTTTAAACTGGAAATTTTAAAAAGGGTAATTTAGAATTTGACTTGTCAAGGATAAATAGAAATCTTAAGTGTCTTTTCTTCTGTAAACACTAGTAAAAAGGGTTTAACCATCTAGATAGGTGACCTTGATGTGTTCCATCTGCTAGAAACCCAATTTGAATCCAACCCCTTGTAACTGATGGCTTTTATGTTGTACCCGACTCAGGGCTGAAATTCGAACAGAAACTATGAGGCCTCTATGTTGGTTTGTGTGTTCGTAAGTGTCTATATGTGTGTTGTAGGTGTATGGTATTGCCAAAAATGAATTCGTAAAAGAGCTCTACTAGTTGGCTTTTTAAAAAATTAAGTGCTTATATAAATACTCAAAAATAGAAAATAATCTGGCTAGAATGAATTTCAGGTTCATGTCATCTGCAAAATATTCAGTACTAAACAGATATCTGGTATTGAAGGTGGCTTAAGCTTGTTGGTTTGATTAATATAGATATGTTAGAGTCATCAATGTCAAGTATAATACTTCTGTCGTACACCTAGAGGTCAAATAAGACCTTATTCTGTATCTGTTACAAATTTGTCAACAAGAAAAGGAACTCAATGGGAAAAAACTTTTAAGGAAAGTAAGATATGTGTTTTTAGTGAAAGGTGTGAAGAGCTTCCCTGGTGGCGCAGTGGTTAAGAATCCACCTGCCAATGCAGGGGACACGGGTTTGAGCCCCGGTCCGAGCCCGTGTCCTGCAAGGTCCCACATGACGTGGAGCAACTAAGCCCGTGCGCCACAAATACTGAGCCTGTGCTCTAGAGCCTGTGAGCCACAACTACTGAAGCCCACGCGCCTAGAGCCTGTGCTCCGCAACAAGAGAAGCCACCGCAATGAGAAGCCCGCGCACCTCAACGAAGAGTAGACCCCGCTCCCACAACTACAGAAAGCCTGCGCGCAGCAACGAAGACCCAACTCAGTCAAAAATAAATAATTTTTTTAAAAAAGCATTAAAAAAATGTGTGAAGAATGAAAAATACTGAAAAGAGTGATACATAATCAGGATTTTCTAAGATTGGACTAAATTTTAGTTGGGTACATGGATTTCAATAGGAATGGGCTAGAACAAGACTGGATTTGGTTTCTCCAAAGTATTTTTTTTTTTTTACATCTTTATTGGAGTACAATTGCTTTACAATGGTGTGTTAGTTTCTGCTTTATAACAAAGTGAATCAGTTATACATATACATATGTTCCCATATCTCTTCCCTCTTGCGTCTCCCTCCCTCCCACCCTCCCTATTCCACCCCTCTAGGCGGTCACAAAGCACCCAGCTGATCTTCCTGTGCTATGTGGCTGCTTCCCACTAGCTATCTATTTTACGTTTGGTAGTGTATATATGTCCATGCCACTCTCTCACTTTGTCACAGCTTACCCTTCCCCCGCCCCATATCCTCAAGTCCATTCTCTAGTAGGTGTCTTTATTTTTTTTTATTTATTTATTTTTTTGCGGTACGTGGGCCTCTCACTGTTGTGGCCTCTCCCGTTGCGGAGCACAGGCTCCGGACGCGCAGGCTCAGCGGCCATGGCTCACGGGTCCAGCCGCTCCGCAGCATGTGGGATCTTCCCGGACCGGGGCACGAACCCGTGTCCCCTGCATCGGCAAGCAGACGCTCAACCACTGCGCCACCAGGGAAGACCAGGTCTGTGTCTTTATTCCCATCTTACCCCTAGGTTCTTCATGACTTTTTTTTCTTTCTTAAATTCCATATATATGTGTTAGCATACAGTATTTGTTTTTCTCTTTCTGACTTACTTCACTCTGTATGACAGACTCTAGGTCTATCCACCTCACTACAAATAGCTCAATTTCGTTTCTTTTTATGGCTGAGTAATATTCCATTGTATATATGTACCACATCTTTATCCATTCATCTGATGATGGATACTTAGGTTGCTTCCATCTCCTGGCTATTGTAAATAGCGCTGCAATGAACATTTTGGTACATGACTCTTTTTGAATTATGGTTTTCTCAGGGTATATGCCCAAATCAAAACTACAGTGAGATATCATCTCACACCGGTCAGAATGGCCATCATCAAAAAATCTAGAAACAAATGCTGGAGAGGGTGTGGAGAAAAGGGAACACTCTTGCACTGCTGGTGGGAATGTACAGCCACTATGGAGAAAAGTACGGAGGTTCCTTAACAAACGTGCCTTCTTAAGTCTTTTGTCATTATAGACACGGTTTCAATCTAATGCCTTTGCAAAAAATGCTTCCCCTTCAAGAAGATTTATAGAAAGGACTTTTGGATATATACAAGTTTCTGACTTTCAGACCATAATGCTGAACTGTGTAAGAAATTGAAGAATTCTAATGAAAAACCTGATGGCCTCATAAAGCTGTTAACCAAAAAAGGATTAGTTATACAGGATGGAGTGAACTGGTGAATATGGTTATTTTTATGGTTTCTATCTGAAAAAATTACCGGTTTAAATCTGTGTTTTCCAGGTATAAGGAGACCTTCCCCTCAAACTCATTATAACTTACAGAAATTTGGTAAATTATACTTTTTTGTAAGCAGAATTGAAACATTTATCTTATCTATCTGCTCCCTCCAGAGTTTGGAAACTCTTAGGTTCCCTGCAGCTTTATCAGATAAATTAGGAAGGCTACCCCACTAGTGGTTACAGAAATCCCAAGGTATTTTGGAGACCTCAAAAAGGGAGGAATTCACCTACATAGGTTAGGCAAAAATCTGTGATAAACCCTTGGTGTGACTTTCTTAGCCCTGAGAGGTCCTTTAAAAGTCCAGTCTGAGACTCCTTATAAAAGTTTCAGCAAGGGCTTCCCTGGTGGCGCAGTGGTTGAGAGTCTGCCTGCCGATGCAGGGGACACGGGTTCGTGCCCCATTCTGGGAAGATCCCACATGCCGCGGAGAGGCTGGGCCCGTGAGCCATGGCCGCTGAGCCTGCGCGTCCGGAGCCTGTGCTCCGCAACGGGAGAGGCCACAACAGTGAGAGGCCCGCGTGCCGCAAAAAGAAAAAAAAAAAAAAGTTTCATCAAGTAAAAAGTCTATATGGGGCTTCCCTGGTGGCGCAGTGGTTGGGGGTCCGCCTGCCGATGCGGGGGACGCGGGTTCGTGCCCTGGTTCGGGAGGATCCCACATGCCGCGGAGCGGCTGCGCTTGTGAGCCATGGCCGCTGGGCCTGCGCGTCCGGAGCCTGTGCTCCGCAGCGGGAGAGGCCACGGCAGTGGGAGGCCCGCGTACCGCAAAAAAAAAAAAAAAAAAAAAAAAAAGTCTATATGATCAATTACAGTTATATAAATCATCAAACCAAGTTTACTGAGACCACACTTATTTTGCAAACCATTTAGTTTTAATTTGGTTACATTTAGTAGAAAAGAGGGTAATTTTAGAGAGAAAAAGATTTTACAATGAATGTTAAATCCCAGTTTTGTTAATGGAGATCTGTAATTATTAAGACTCATCTCCCACATAGTTCTTTGCTGTTATGTTATATTAATGTAAAGTTTAATCGAATCATCATTATTATTATTTTTTAGAACAACAGACATAATATCTCACAGTTTCTGTGGAAACAGATATAGGAAAACAGGTGCAACTTAGCTGGGAGTGTCAAAGCCTCAGGCTCCGGCTCTCAGGCAGGCTGCCATCAAAATATTGGCAGGGGCTACAGTCATCTCAAAGCTCAACTGGGGGCTTCCCTGGTGGCACAGCGGTTGGGAGTCTGCCTGCCGATGCAGGGGACACGGGTTCGTGCCCCGGTCGGGGAAGATCCCACATGCCGCGGAGCGGCTGGGCCCGTGAGCCATGGCCGCTGGGCCTGCGCGTCCGGAGCCTGTGCTCCGCAACAGGAGAGGCCACAACAGTGAGAGGCCTGCAGTGCCGCAAAAAAAAAAAAAAAAAAAAAAAGTTTCAGCAAGTAAAAAGTCTATATGATCAATTACAGTTATATAAATCATCAAACCAAGTTTACTGAGCCCACACTTATTTTACAAACCATCTAGTTTTAATTTGGTTACATTTAGTAAAAAAGAGGGTAATTTTAGAGAGAAAAAGATTTTGCAATGAATGTTAAATCCCAGTTTTGTTAATGGAGATCTGTAATTACTAAGACTCATCTCTCACATAATTCTTTGCTGTTATGTTATATTAATGTAAAGTTTAATCGAATCATTATTATTATTATTATTTTTTAGAACAACAGACATTATCTCAGTTTCTATCAGCCGTGGCCGCTGAGCCTGTGCATCCAGAGCCTGTGCTCCACAACGGGAGAGGCCACAACAGTGAGAAGCCAGCGTACAGCAAAAAAACAAACAAACAAACAAACAAAAAAACCAAAAAAAAAACACAAAAACTCAACTGGGGGAGAGTCCCCTTCCAAGACTGCTCATGTTGCTGTCAGGTCTTCCTTCTTTGTCACATAGGCCTCTCCACTGGCTCTCTGAATGTCCTCATGACATGGCAGCAGTCTACTCATAAGGAGTTGGGAGATTGTTGGGGAAGGTCCACTCATTGGGCAGAAGTCAGGTTACAGAGAATAATTCACCAATCACTGTCCAGCAGCGGGGTGTGAATGTGCAGGTGTTTCACGGCCACCTGAACGCGCCAGTCTGCATGGCGGGCAGAAGACACTGTGCTGGACGCGCCGCGGCTCAGGTAGCGCAAGTTGGAGAGCCTGTGGTGCGGGATGGTGGGCAGGGCACTGCAGATGGCCTCCTCGTTCATGGTAGTGGGTGGCGCAGGCACTCAGGCAGCCGGTCGATTCCCTGCGAGCCGGGTCGGCAGGCCCTACAGCCTGCCGGACATTAGGTCACGAGGGCATCCATTCTCCGCGCAGCCCACGCCAAGCCGCTGCTTATCCGCTGCTTATCCGGAGCCGGAGCGGAGTTTAATTGCATTATTAAAGGATACTCTAAGTTTGTTTCTGAAGCTTATCTCCGTAATTTCTTTGGATGAAGATCAGATGCCCCATGACCTGCAACCAGGGGATTATGCATACCGGAAAAGACAAAATTTAAAGGACTATCTCCAACCTGGAGAGAAGGACCCTTTTCAGGTACTCTTAACTAGCTTATGCACAGCAAAACTGAAGGGAATTGACTTTTGGATTAATTTCCACTCACAAAGGGCCCCTGCACTGGAGTGGCCTATAGAGAGGATGGCTGACCTTGAAAATCACCTCAAAACAATGCTCAAACAAAGGAGAAACTACACTCACACCAGGGCGAGAAGACGACGACATCAGAAGTAGACAGCTTGCCCGAGATCCTGGACCTGGCTCATTTCCCCTTCCCTTGAAGCTCTCTTACCTCCCTTCAAAGCGGGAGACGGGGTGCTGCTGAAGTATGAAAAAGAGCAATGACCTGAGCAGCAGCAGCAGCCTGAAGAAAAAAATGAAAGGGATCTTATCTTAGCACGTTCTTCTTACTACTCACGCCTCTCTAAAATTAGATAGAGTAAAACCGTGGGTACATCATACCAGAGTAAGAAGATTATCAGCTATTGACCAGCCAAGCCTGCCTACAGCCAACAGACTCCTGAGAAACAGACATCTCACCCTTTGGGAAACTTTAAGTATTTGTTCCGACAAGTGGAATGAAAGTTGTTTTCTTATCCTTTCTCATACCTTCTACCTATAGATTCACATGCTGATTATTTCGATAATTCTAACTGCTAGACATGTGGTCAGCTTCCTATTTCTGGGTCTTCAGGATTGCCTTGATAGGTTTTCCCCATACAGGGAATGGTTTGGAAACAACTGGCTACAATAAGTCTCTCTGAAGTGCCGGTTCCAGACTGGGCTTCAGACTTACTTCCCTGAATTCCCAAGGAAATGAGATCTGTTCTGTCTACTAACGTTCTAGTTGTCACTCCTCTTACTTCTAACTGGGTCTGCTACACCAAAATGGCAAAACAAAGGTTTGAGTTCTTAATCACACAAGACTCAGATCCAGGACTTGGAACTCAAATACTTCTAATTTGTTATCTATTCCCCAAAATTTAGGCAGGAATACGCCCCAGCTCAGCAAGAAGTAGTTAAAGCTGTTGTCGCCCCGTTCCCTAAAAGATTTGGGGAAAGATACAGCTGAAGTGGGGATGAAAACCGAGTCCCCCGAAAGCTGAGTTCCTCTGCCGAGTTTACGATTAACATCTCTATCCAAAACGATTGTTCCCTTTTCTTGTCCAACATCTGTTCTCCTCAAGATTGAGGAATATCAAAGAAAAGGAAGGGATCGATGCTGAGTAGGGCCCTCTGGGGCTCCTGGGCCGGGAGGCCTTTTTGTCCCCCATTTCTTGTAAGCAAGACTCCAGCCTCCATGACCTTCCCTGAGTTCCAAAGGGCAGACCTGAACAGTTGCTAATCAAGGGCCTGAGGCAAGACTAAAGGGACCAGAGAAGTTCAGGAGATTAGTAGACCCTACATACACCCTAATCTTGTCAGCAACCCCACCCTTTTGAAACTCTGCAGAAGAAAGAATGCAAGACTGTTACTGCCTTGATCCTTATCACATACCTCTGACCACTACCCCTGACTATATAACCTCTCCCTATTCCCCAGTGAAGGGGGGCACAGTTCTTGAGGCCCTAGCCTACTGTGTTCCCCTTTGCCTGGCAAAGAAATAAAGCCACTCTTTCTTTCTCCTCCATCACTCTGTCTACATATTTCTGTTTGGCACTGGTGCACAGAGAGCTAAGATTTTGGCAACAACAGCTGATACAGAGGATAGCATAAATTTGGGAATGTTGCTGAATCAGTTTCCCAAACTTCTCAGATAAGAATCACTTGGAGGGAATTCCCTGGCAGTCCAATGGTTAGGATTCTGTGCTTTCACTGCCAAGGGCATGGGTTCAATCCCTGTTTGGGGAACTAATCCACAAGCTGCGTGGCGTGGCCAAAAATCACTTGGGCCATCTGTAAAATATACACATCACCAGTCTTCCCCAGACATTCTGACTCAAGAAGGTTGAACTGGGGCCTGGGAATCAGTACAAGTACACCAGTGGCTTATCTTCAACGTCAGGGGGAAACAAATTAGACTATTATATTTAGGCAAATATTTGCACCGTAATACCAAAGACCCTGGAATTGCCAAAGGAGATTAAACTACCAATAGGAAAAAAATTTGTCTATTTTTACACTGATATGGAACCGGTGTTTTGGAAACACAATCCTGACGTTACCTTCTCAGGCTCCACCCCACTCCCACTGAAAAATTTCCCACTGCTTTTAGAATATAGACAAAACTCCTTACCATGGTCCACAATGCCCAGAGTCATGGTTTCCTTCCTACTGCTTCTCTATCCAGTACCCATCTTTCTGGTCTTAATTTAAAGATGGCCCTTCTCTAGGCTAAAGCTAATCTCTTCGACCCTTGGTGCTCCTGAGGAAGTTTCCTCATTTGTAAAATGGGAATAATATTGATCTCATAGATGGTTCAGGATTAAATGAGGTCAGGTAAGAAGAGCTCTCTGCACAGAGGGGCTGGCACAGTGAATGATAGCTATTATTTAATCAAATCAAGCTCTGTTTCTACTTCACATTCAATTCAGTTCTTAAACCCACTTGCCATCTGGTTTCTGCATCCACCATTCCAAAGAAACTATTTTCATTAGGCTCACCAACTGCCAAGTCCAAATGACATATTTCAGTCCTTATCTGACTGACCTTTCTGCAAATACTGGACATTGCTGACCATTCCATCCTCTGAAATTCTCCTTTGGCATCCCAAAAAACTGTATCCTGGTTTCCTCATACTTCTCTGGCCAGTCTTTTAAAGTACCTTTTGTGGTTCCTTCATTGCTTACTTTTTCAAATTAAAAAAAAATGTTTTATCACAGTAATACATGCATATTTATACGCCAATGAGAGCTACTCAGCAAGGTCTTCCTTGACCATTAAGTTAGAACCCTCACCCCATACCCTCTCACATCACTTTGTTTTGTCTTCGGAGTACTTCTCTCACTCTGATTCACTTGTTTGTCTCCCCGCCCCCACTAGATCCTAAACTCTTTGAGGGAAGGGGGTATGTTTTATTCACTGCTGTATTCAGAGCACGAAGAATAATGCCTGGCACCCACTAGGCTCAATCAGCATTTGACTGACTGAAATATCCCCCACATTTAATCAATCACTTGTAGATTCTACCTCCTCAATTCTCTCAAATCTTTGCCCACTGTTCTTGCTTCACAACTGACTCATATCTTGCTTAAATGACTGCCACAACCATCTCCAGTCCTATTCTATAGTCCATATCCCAAATTGCAGCTAAAGTGATCCAAATCCTTCAATAGATTCCTACTGCCTTTAGGATTATGTCTAGATTCTTTAGCAAAGCATATAGAGCTCTCCATGATCTGGACCCTGGCTAATTCTAGTTTCAGCTTTTGCCAGCCCCTTCCATATGCACCATGCTCTAACCATCCCTATTTATAGTCACATGCAAACTGCTTTACCTTTTCTGCTTCTACACCATGACAGCTGTGTTGCTGAGGACCTTTGGGGAAAAATCACACAATAAAGTAAATCGGTACCATTTTAAATAAACAGCCTTTAACCTCATTTGTTCATTGAACACCTATAACAATCCTTTTATGGATCCCATGTCAGCTCCAGCTCCCATTTCCCTCATGACCATTAAAAAAAAATACCAAGAAACACTTCAACATTAATAGAAGGGTTTACAGTGAAGAGAATGCGCCCCTCCCCAACCCTACCTCACTCCTAGAGGTGTTAAGTTTGAAGTGCAACATGCGGAATCTTCTCTGTGAATATGCAAATCTGGATTTACATTCCTTTTGTCTCCTAAACAAGTGAAATTAAATGTCACCTACTATTCTAAGACTTATTTCTTCAAGAATATCTTTCTTATTAGCACATGTAGATTTTCCTCATTCTTCTTCAACAGTTGCATATTTTTTGACTGGACGTACCGCAATTCAACCTCTCTGCTACTAATGGGACATTTAGCAGGTTTTTGGTTTTTCATTCTCTCTCTCAGCAGTTCAACACTTTTATTCGAGCTCCCATCCCATTTTCACTTTTCTCACAAGGATGATTTTACCTATTCCACAGAGGAAACTGAAGCTATGAAGTGTGAATTCCTCCAACTTTCTACCTCCCTCATCTATAGGCTGATATGTAACTCCAACTCCTTCCTTCCTTTGTCTGGGGGGGGGGAATCTCTTCTCCTATAGGAGGAAATGCTATCTATGCTAACATTCCTTCCTGTTTTCACAGAGGTCTTTCCAACAATTATCTTCTCTTGCTTTTTTCCAACCCCTCCTTCTCTATTGCTTTCTCCCTTAAGCCTACGCAAGCGTACTTATTTATCTTCCTTTTTTTTTTTTTAAATTTTGGCTGCGCTTCGCAGGCTCCGCATGCAGGATCTTAATTCCCTGACCAGGAATCAAACCTGCGGCCCCTGCAGTGGAAGTGCAGAGTCTTAACCACTGGACAGGCAGGGAAGTCCCTATTTTTCTTCCATCTTAAGACTCTCCCCCTCTTTTATTCCTCACAGCCTAGCTTCTTTTTTATTTTTTATTTTTTTTCAGCCTAGCTTCTTGAAGGGGTAGTCTATGATCTCTCTTGTCACTTCCTCATCTTCCATCTGTCCCTCAACCTCCTGCTGGCTGGCTTCTAATCTCACTCTCTTGCTAGCTAAGGTCACCAGGGACCTCCTAGTTGCCAAACCCCAAAGCTCTCAGGCTTTATTTTACTTCTCTGTGGTATAGATGCTAAGTCTTTTTCTTTTTTCCTTTAAATAAACCTCCTTCCTTGGTTTAAGAAATATCATTCTTCAAGTTCTCCTATTTCTGACCACCCCTAAAAATTGGTCTATACCAGCATTCTGCCCTCCATACTCTTCTGACTCTACACAGGCTTCCTGTGTGATCTCACCTACTCCCAAGTTTGCACAAATCCTAAGCTTTCTACCTATCATAGTTTAAACACACATGCTCCCAACCGAACTTAGCTATTTCTCCTACCTTCCACCCTCAATCTGTTCAGTGAATGGCCATCACCATTTACCCAATCACCTAAGTCAGAAACCTAGATTCCACTTTTTTTTTTTTTACTTTCCATTATCCAATCAGTCACCAAGAGGTACCTCTCATTTCACGCCTACTGCCAATGCCTCAGCCAGTTTTAAGTCTCCATCATCTCTCATCTGGCATCAGCCCTCCCCAGCCCATCCATTTTCCACACTGTGCCAGTGATCTAAGATGAGCATTTGAACCTGAGCCTTGTAAATAATCACTACACTACATATGTTTCCTATATTCCATCCATCCAGAACTACTTGTTGTTCCATGAACAGACCATGTACTTTCATGCCCCTAAGCATTCTGTTCCCTCTGCCTAGAATACTTCCCCCGCACTGACCCTGGCAAACTCCTCCCTACTCTTCATGATCTATCTGAAGGGTTCCCCTCTACGAAGGCTTCTTATCCTCATTTCATAAGCAGAGTTGGTAACTCCTTATCACCATGAAACTTTATAAATATTTATTGCAATGATCATTTCTTTTAAACTTATTTATATTTATGTGTCTACCACTCATTCTAGACCTTAAGTGCCCTGCCATCAGAAACTGTATCTTAACGTCTGTATCAGCATCTAGCAGACTACTTGATAAAAATAGGTGGCTCGATAAATGCTGAATGAATGAATACCATGTACCCATCCAATCAAGCTAAACCAAAATTCTGGAAGCCACCTTTCATTCTTCCTTCTCCACTCCCAAATGCCAATTGGTCATCAAGTCCTGTTGATTCTATCCCCTAAACAGCTCTCAAATTCATCCCCCTCCTCCCCATCTTAATGCCACAGCCCTGGTTCAGGCTCCACTACCCCATACTTGAACTAGATTTGCCCCTCTCCAAACCACTCTCCGCACTAGTGCTGGAATTTTTTTAATTTTTTTATTCCAAAAATCATACATTCTTGTAAAAAATTCAAATACAGAAATAAAAGCACAATACCCCACCCAGTATACACACAAGCATATAGCCCCCTCCCCTCCAATCCTCCTCCCCTCCAATCCCACTCCCCAGAGGTTATCACTGCAAACAGTTTTGTGTATATCCTTTCAGACCTTTTCCTTTGCATATACATATAAGCACATATAAATACACACACATGGGTTTTGTCATTTACAAAAACGGTATCACACTTGTTACATGATTGTTCAATTTTTCCTCATTTAATATACAGAAAATTCCTAAAACACAAATCTGATTATATCACTCCACTAGAGCGCCTCATTTCTCATAATATGAATTCATATGCATTAGCAACAAAATCAAAGCTCTTGACGATATGCTTCCTATCCATCTTTCAGTCTCATCTCTAGCCATTCCAGCATTCGAGGGACTGGAACATAAACCACCTTAAATCCTTTCTGGAACAAGGCTGGTACAAACAAACAAACAAACAAACTAGGAACACACTCTGCCATTTCTGGAGTTCGTCCTTTTCACTTCATGTTACACTCTGCCTGCACTTTTCCATCTGGCAAGCTCCTACTAATTAATTCTTCAACAATCAGCTTAAAAATTACCTCTAGGAAGACTTCCCTGACTTTTTCAGACATGATCACTCTTCTTTTTTCCCCTATACTTTATATCTAGCTTCTTAATTGCACTTATCTCACAGTACTGTAATGATTTATTAACGTCTTGAATTCCACCTCCCCTCCCCCAACTTGATGGTGATATTGTTCAGTGAAAGGAATGCGTCTTATTTCATTTTGCATCCCAAGGTTTTGATGGAACGCTTACCATGGAGCAGACGCTCAGTAATGAATCTGTTGAGGATTTTATGATTCTAGGAACATTTACTGAGTACCTACTCTGCACAGAACCATATCCTAAGCATGAAAAGAAACAGAAGACACAGTCTTTGCCCTAAGGAACTTACCATTTCCCTACCATTTCCCCTGGGGGGGAGGGACAGAACACATTTACATGGCAACATATCATTTCTGACATATAGGCTGTTTCAAACATTTAGTTATTTGCCTCCAATCCATTTAGGAACAAGGCATTGTATAATCAAATAAATAATAAAATAATGGGCAGTTCAGTTTGTCCAAGAGGTTTATGTTTTTAGTGTGGCATAGAGTCCACCAGAATCCAATTCTCTGTCCCAGCAGAGGGGCTGTCCCCTGTTCCAGCCTGCAAATTAGAAAACTGAGATGATACCATGCTTGGAAATTTTCTAATACATCAAGAGGACATAAAGTTATTAGTTATTTCATGATTTCTCTTCTTTCCCCAGGAAAGAATGATACTAAGAGCAATAAATGGAGTTAAAGGGGACACTGGAGAAGATTACTCTCTGTTAGTGGTAGGGGGAAGGGGGTTGCTTGGTTTTAAATCAAAGGGTGGCACTGCCCCCAGGAAGATCAGGAGAGGTGATTTTTTTATCAGTTACTTACTTACTAAATTTTTTTTTTTTTTTTTTTGTGGTACGCGGGCCTCTGACTGTTGTGGTCTCTCCCGTTGCGGAGCACAGGCTCCGGACGTGCAGGCTCAGCGGCCATGGCTCACGGGCCCAGCCGCTCTGCGGCATGTGGGATCTTCCCGGACCAGGGCATGAACCTGTGTCCCCTGCATTGGCAGGCGGACTCTCAACCACTGTGCCACCAGGGAAGCCCTTACTTACTAATTTTTAAAGGCTACGGTACTAGTTAATCTGGTGATTTCAAGATCAGACACTGTACAAATATAAACAAATGGGGGAAAGGTGAACCACCTAGGCTGGAGAACAGGGAAGGCTGACCAAGGAGGCCCAAAGGAAGCCTCATTCATCAGAGTCCAAGTCACTGTCCCCAGCAATGGAGTGGAAATCCTCACTGTCCTCCTCGTCCTCTGACAGGTGGACCTGGCTTAGTACGCTCGGCCCAGAGCGCTGCTCTTCCTCCTCCTCATCTTCTTCCTCCTCTGATACCTCATACCCACCGATGCTGCTGAAGCTTGTGTCTTGGGTGTTCGACTTGGGATCAGGCTCCTCATAGCTCCCATAACTGAGAAGAGAAACATGTCATCTCTCAAGCTCGGACACCATCCTCTAGCTGACCAGTCCCGTTCTTGGTGCCACCAAGGGATCAGCCCATCTCACCTCCCCTGGACACTAAAATGATGGTTCTGGACTGTTCTACAGGTCCCTGAGAGAAAAATGATCCTATTCAAAAACATCAACTTGCCAACTTCATATACGCAAGAATCTGAATGAAAGAAACTCCCCTACACCTGAACAACACACTGCCAGCTTACATGACCATAAATGCTCTGAGAGCCTCATAGTTTCTTCTGCCACTTACAGCTTCACTCATCTACATATCCAATTAGTCAACAGTCCTGAAGATTCTACCTTTTCAATATATCTTGTCTCTACCCCCTCCTTTCCAGCCCTATTCTGCCTGCCTTGGCTTAGTCCTTTGTGATCCCTGGCCGCCTGCACCACTGAAATCAGTCTTCATGCCTCCAGTCTTGCTCTCCTCCAATTAATTCTTCACATTTCTGCCAGAGTGCTGTTTATTTTTGTTTGTTTGTTTATTCTTAATTTTACTTAAAAAAACCCACAAGTAATGCACGTTCACTGGTTAAAAAAAAATTAGAATATACACCAGAAAAAAAGAAAAAGAAAAAAAAACACCAATAACTCTACCACCCAGAGATAATCTTTTGGTACATGACCTTCCAAATTTTTTTCTATGCACTTCACTTTGATGCTTAAACATTTTCTTTTTATTTACAAAATTGGAATACTCTACATACTCTTCAGGAATCTGCTTTTTCACTAATGTTTATAATGAACATCCTTCCATGTCAATAAACATACATCTATATCATCATTTTAATAGCTGCATGGTATTCCACTGTATGGCTGTTAACAGGATTTATTTCAGTCTCTCACTAGAACATTTAAGCTGTCTTCAATTTTCCCACTATTAGAAACAATGCTGTGATAAACATCCTTGTACAAACATCTTGATGAAGGTATTTTATTGTTCCCATGGAATAACTTCCTAGATATGGAATGTGGGGGCCAAAGGGGATGTACGCTTTTTAAGTTTCTGATTTATAATGATAAATTGCTGTATCTCTCTCACCTACCCGTTTCAATTTACATCAACCAGTCATTTCAGAATGTCTTTTTCCTCATGCCTTTTTCAACACTGGGCATTATCATTCATTTTAATCTTTGCCCATCTTATAGGTAAAAAAATTGCATTTCATTGTTTTATTGTATTTCTTTCTTAGGAAAACTAATTTTTCATATATTTATTGGCCATTTGCATTTCTTTTGTAAACTGTTAATTCATGGCTTTTGCCCATCTTTCTTTTGGGGCACAGAGCAACTTTTCCAAAATACAGATCTGATCATACTACGCTCATTCGATGTCTGCCCCAAATTTTCAGACCCTTCATGATTTGGTCCTTACCTACTTCTTTAAACTGTCTCTATTACACAGATCATGATCAAAACCTCCAGCCACACTGAGCTACTTGCATTCTCTAGAAGTGTTTCATGTCTCTGTGTCGTCATACATGCTGTTCTTAGTCTCTGGAATGTCCTTCACTTTCCTTTTCATTTAGCTGATTCCTATTCTGATTCAGCTCAGCTTCTCTAACCAGCTCCCCTACTCCACTCCTACCCAAGTCCCAGAAAAATCCTGTCGCTGCCTATCAGAGCACTTTTCTTGTTACACTGTGATCATCATCTGTTTGCCTGTTTTAGATTTCCCACTAGACTAAACTCCTTGAAGCAAGGACAACATCCTTGCTTTTGTACTTGTAAATATCTGCTGGATGAATAGACTCTTACTGCTTGCTGGATACCTGTGGCTTAGATGTATCATATGTACCTTAAATCCAACATGTCCACAGACAAATTCATTTTTTGCCTCCTTTCCCACTCCATCTAATACCTGTTTTTCCTCTTTCTTCTCTCAGTGACATTCCCATTCATTATATATCTAATCTCCTTACCTCCTAAATCCAATTGATCTACCCTCTGAACAGTTCTTGAATATGTCCCTTCCCTTTCTTCCACTCCTAATAGATTCTAGCTGAATTCCTTATCACTGCCCTAGAGTTATTTAACACACAAATTTGATGTTACTTTCTTTTCCTTAAAGTGATGATTCCCATTAACCACAATCCAAATGTCTTAGCATACCAGTTAAGGTCCTCTACAGTATAATCCCTTGCTACTTCTAGAGTCACAACGCCCAGCAACCTCCCTTCTGTCTGGAATTTACTTTGCTATATTTCTGTGCCTTTGAACATACTGTTCCATCTCTAAGGATCTCCTCACCTGTTGCCACTTATCTACTTAGTAGACTCCTATTCATCCTGTAAGGCCCAGTTCAAATGTTCCCTCATCTGTGACACTTTCCCTGATTACTCCAAGCAGAGAGAGATACTCCCTCCTCAGTGGTGACTTGGCACTTTGTACTTAACCTATGCTATGTAGCTCTCATCACACTGTATTTGTAATAATTTCGTTGTATCAGTCTCTTCCACTAGACTGTGAGCTCCTCAAGGGCAGGATATGTCTTGCTCCTCTGTGTATCCCCAAGGGCCTAGCACAGTGCCTGGCCCTAGTAGGTGCTCAGGAAATGTTTGATGGATGAAAGTAATCTGATGCTGGGCCCTCTGACATCATAGCTGGGCACTGATGCCACAGCCCTGTAGCATGTTGCTACCGATTACCTGATGTTGCTATCCTCCAAACCATGAGAAGCCTCCCCACCGTCTCCCTCATAGGACATCATGCTTTCTTCATTTTCCATGCCCATCCTTGTGTTCTCCTGAAGCATGCGGGGCTGTTTGGGTCTTATCCCACCAGATCCCACATCAGAGTCACTTCCACTTTCACTCAGCTGGATAGCTGCGAAAAGAGACAGATCTTGAGATAAGTTTGACAAAGAATTAACATCATTGGCTTAGTCTTCCAGAACTAGTTAATCCCATGCATCTACAGAGGCATCTTGCCTGGACTCCTCACCTCAGAGGATTGCCTAGGGTCAACATTGACAAGATCTGTAGTTTGGAAAGAGAATTAAAAAATCATTTCCTTTTTCCATTTCAGTGCTATCTATCTGTTCTTCCCCCCCCCATCATGTCCTCCTATACTCATCCCCTGCTATTGTCATTAATCCACAAAAAAATCCCAAAGCAGGATCTTTTTTCTTCATTTTCCTTCCCTATTGCCACATATAACACTTCTATCTCGTTTTTATCAAGTATTTAAATCAAAACCGCTGCTTTGGCATTGCCTTTTTGACTGTCATCTTTTGTACCTCCTGTGTTGTATTTTTTCACCTCTTCTAAGACTAATAAATTTGATCAGCCTATGAGTGAGTGCTCAGTACCCTGAGGTCTACTAATGGGACTTCAATAAAAGAGCAATTTCTGGTAACAGCATATGTGGCCCAGAGCTTCCTCCCAAGTCCTGAGGGTGCCATGGTGAGCTACGTACCAGAGAAAGGGTTATCTCCTTCTTCATCACTCCCAGCATCTTCCTCATCATCTTCTCCTTCAGACATAAGCAAATCCTCATACAGGACACTGGCTTGAGGCTGTTGCACAGTTCCCTCCTCTTCATCTGCAAGATCACCATCTGCATCTTCACCTTCCTAAATGAGACCAGTTGAGGATCAAAGTCCCATTAATCGACCAAGTAAAAGACCAGAAGCCACCACCAGCCGCACCCCCCTTGCTGCCTTACAAGAAGTTACATAATTTTGGTGGATAGATTTGTTTAGCTGGTTCTTACAAGTCAGATTGGGCCTCACTATGGAGACCTTCTGATAGCGCCTGGGGATTTGGCCTGTCCTGTACTACTGGGGCTCCTACCATATAAGGGTATAATGTAACCATGAGCTTTCTGTAAGCATACTCACTGGGGCTGGAGTCTTAGGTTTCCCATCCTCCTCATCATCATACCCTTCAATATCTACATCAGAGTCTTCCTCGCCCAGCCTACCTCGGCCCTGGCGCATCTGAGTAAGGAACACAAATAGCACATCATTGAGGGACGTGCCAGTAGGAGGAGTTAACCGAGGGCTCTCACTCAGGACCGATGCTCCTCCCTGATATCCCAGCCAACCCCACAGCTAGTGGGGGCTGTTTACACAGCTCAAGGCATGTGCATTTTCCCCCATTCATTCTTTGGAAATCACAGGTAGGGTTAAAAGAAAGAAAAACAAAAACCCAAAGAACAGGAAGGCCTTGGTCTACTATTACTGTATCATCACAAGGAGACTCCTCCTTTCTAAACCAAGCTTTCCCTAGCTTGTGTTGGACTCTGGGACAGAAAAACCCTCCTGGATTTTGCACTCTCCAGTGGAACCCTGACTGAGATCAGCTGATAAGATTTCTGGATTCAGATCAGGAGTATCTGCTGACACCTCAAGAAAAGGCCAACTTAAAAAACTTAATTTTAAGAATAACTTTAATTTAGATAACTCATATACAGTAAAGTAGCAGGGCAATTATTTTGAACTCTGTCTCTGAATGCAGTTGGTCTTTCTAGTCACCTGTCAGGCTGCTGTGATGCCTCACACATTTTTCACACTTGTACCTTCCCTTAAGTTCTGCTGTGCCTGACTCTGCCTATGGTGACAGATAGAAGACAATGCCAGTCATGCGACCTGCCACCGTCCCACCTTGAAATCACATTTCCAGGCCTTAATTCCCAGGGCCAAGGGGTCCAATCATCATCCTTGACACATGTCCACACACCACCACCATCACTCCCCCATCCCCTACCCCCAAGCACACTACCAATCTCACAAAGAGAAAAAGAATATCCTACCTGTGTCACCTGCTTTTCTGGAGTGGCAGTGGGAATATCCAGGACAGACATATTGCTCTCATCTTGAAATACAGAGGCATCTCGAGACATACTGAGGGATGTGTTGGTATCATACAAGTCAGGAGGCTGTGGCACAAATCATACAACTTAGCTTCTATTTAGTAAAGGGAGCAAGAAATACAGAGAACTCCCCTTTAGAGCATTCACTGCAGAAAAAGGTCATGCAGAACAATCCATTTAAAGAGAAAACATAGTTTTGACATAGTTTTATGGACAGATTTTTGGGTATCTCACAAATGTTGCTCATTCTAGCAGAGAGGCATCTGATGTATATGATCAGAAGCCTGAAGCAGAAAAGCATCAAAGCTATGGGACAATTCTATGTCCTAACAGCCTTTATGGTCAATAACCTAATTTCTTCTAAGCCTTGTCTTATTGTTTTTAGGCCCAGGGCTTTATACCAGTGCCATTTAGATTGTTTGGTTTAGAGACATCTAATAGAAAATGGGATAAAGAAATTTCAGTTCCAACCAGAGCATGGAATGGGCTAAGAGCTTATGAGCTCACCAGAGGATGCTACGAGGCAAAATGGCATGGTGAAAAACCATGGACTTTGGAGTAAACTGCCCTGGGTTTGAGTCCTGGCTCTACCATTTGCTAGCTGAGTAACTTTAACAAATTACTTAATTTCTCTAAGCCTTGATTTCCTCAACTGTGAAACACGGATGATAATGTCTACCTCACAAGGTTGTTTGGGAGAATTAAGAGATATGTATATGCTCCTTACCCAATGCTTGGTAGTCAACAAATTATAGCTTCCTTCCTTCTTCCCTCTCCTGAAGAGAACAGGGGTTTAACAAACCGTCTAATTCAGTGAAAGGAGGGCAGGAGGGACTAAAAAAGAACAGGCTGGAAAAGTAGGAAAGCATTCTCTAAAAAGCTGGCTGAGGGTAGAAATATTATGTGGCTATTAAAAATGTTTTCAAAGACTATTTAATGAAATAAAATGCTCATGATATAATGTGAAGCGAAAACAAGACAAGATCATAATGACCAATTTCACTTTAAAAATATGTCTATAGGGCTTCGCTGGTGGCACAGTGGTTGAGAGTCCGCCTGCCGATGCAGGGGACACAGGTTCGTGCCCCGGTCCGGGAAGATCCCACATGCCGCGGAGCAGCTGGGCCCGTGAGCCATGGCCGCTGAGCCTGCACGTCCGGAGCCTGTGCTCCGCAACGGGAGAGGCCACAACAGTAAGAGGACCACATACCGCAAAAAAAAAAAAATGTGTCTATAAACGCACACGTACACGCATTACAGATTTGAAACACGCCAAAATGTTCACAGTGGTTGGTTCTTTCTGACTGGTGGACTTGATTTTAAGTAACTTATTTACTCTGTATATTTTCCAATGTGTCCCAATGAACATGTTACTTTTATCAACAAAAAACCCACATGTGTTACTTTGCTGTTGGTTTTGTTGTTGTTGTTTTTAAAGTAAACAAGGCTGATTGGGAACAGGGTTTTGGAGAAAGAGAGGCAAAACAGAATTCAAAGCATTACACTGCAAATAAACTAGTTGTGGAACAAAAGAAGAGAAAATTAGGGAATGAAACGCTATGTGGGAAAATGTAAAGCAAGCAATTTTAGAGAAAGTGTTAAGCTGAATGTATGGTGCAATATAAGCTGGGTAGAAATAGTTGAGTGAAAATACATTATTGATTACCACCATTTAGAGCTGGAAGTAAAGTAAGATTACTGTCATGTTTCTACACAACAAAATTGTATTATGACAGGTTAAACTTACACAAACACACTTTAATAGCATTTGGATTTGAGAGTAGTTATGAGTAAGGACAATCACTCATGCGCATCTTCCTCAGGTTTAGAAATAATGCACTGGGCTTTCTAATTTAAAACGTGTATATATGAGTGAAGGCAATGATCAGAGAGTGAACTGGAATAATGAAGAGGCAATACCTACACCCTACTCCTCACAGGAGATCCTCTTAACTGCACAAAACAACAGCTACTGCTCCGGAGGAAGAACAGTTGCCAGGTTTTCCTCCACCATTTGAGATAGTGTGGGAGGGGAAGGGAAGAAAGGAAGATGGCTTCTGGGTCTAAGGGTCTGACTCACCAAAGGGCTAGCCTTAGGCTGTCACAGAGCAGAGCAAACACGCCACTCAGTAGTTAGACTCTCCTGGGGAATGATGGCTAAAACCCAGGCTTTAACTTACCACAAAGGGTCTTGTGGAAGCTGTGGGCCTATTAGCAAATAGGACCTTCCTGGGCAACATCACTAACCCAAGCCCCCTTGACCCAATCTGCCCACACACTCCAAGAGCCTTTCCTTGTTCTGGGCCTGGAAGACGTATCTTAGGGCTCTTTATACTTGGCCCCTCAGTGGCCTAGGTTTTGGGGTGAAAGAGAGAGTAAAAGATAGGTAAGGAGAGTGCATGAATGAGATATAGACAGCAATTATCCAACAGAGATCACACAGGTTGCATTATTAGTTCAGAGTGAAACCTGAGCAGAATGGAAAAACGTTTTCCAGTGGGAATTGGGAGAAATATGCATTAGAATATTTGGTTAAATTTGAAAGGGCCTCTGAGAACCCTGTAGGTGACTTTCATACAGATAAGGAAATAAACATTTCCTGAATGTCTACTATGTGCTGGGCAAATGACCTTGTTTAATGTTTGCAACAACCTTGAAAAGTACATTTTAGAGAAACGGAAACTGGATTAGAGGGGTTAAGTTAACTTCCCAAGTTCACAAAGCTAGATAGCAGCAGAGCTAAGACTCAAACCCAGGACTGTTTTATACCAACCTTCATGTACTTTCCACTTTACCATAGTGCCTCCAATACAGTTATATTCTGGTAAGTCTTATTATTCAAATATACCAGCCCTCTAAGAGTATAGTATAGATGAAAGAGACTCTTAGTACATTCAAGGGTCAGATCAGAAAGAATAAAAATTTCTTACTAATCTTGCTCTCTAGTCTTTCACATGAAAATTGAAGAACATTATAAAACATTACCTGTCTTCATTTATGGGGAGAGCGAGTCAATCCAGGAAAATGGGTGACATCTGAGCTACACTGAGATATCTCAGAAGGAATGAGTAATCAGGCATCTATAAGGCACAGGAACAATGTGGCCCATGTCTATACTCTAGGGATGTCCTAGAACCCCAATGCATGAGGCAAGGGAGCCCCAGAGACTCAAGAGAATGCCTCTGGCCATGGTAGTCAGGAATCTGGTATTCCTAAATACTGCCTAAACAACTAAGATCCCACCCCGTTCATTCATCCCATATCTGTCTCTTCTGGATTCAACAAGGCTACCAAGACCCACGGCCCTCACTCACCTTAGCCTTTGAGAAGACAAGAAAGCACACGAAAGGCATATGAAGAGGAAGGACAGAGAAGAAGGGTATCTCAGTAAATACATCTGTTAACATGCTCCCAAGTTCCCAAACCAAAAAGAAAACTGTAAGAGGAGGCTTCTAGTCCTCAGACTCACCTGAGGTGTGTAAGGCCCTGGGGTCATTGGGTCCAAGCTTTCTAACTCTGCTTCCTCCAAAGCTGCTTCTTTAGCTGTGCAAATATCCTTCTCAAGTTGAGTCAAATGCTCATCATACTGAGAAATAAAGAAAATTAGTGAATTCATTCAACATTTGTTTTAGACACTGGGGATACAAAAGTTGTAAAAAGAGCAAATGAAAATCCCTGTCTTCGAAGAGCTTCTATTCTAGTGGCAGGACACATATGGTAATTAAAGTAAATAATTACATAGTTTATTAAAAACATTTAGTGCTAGGTAATAAAATAAAGCAGGGAAGGAACTAAGGGATGTGGGCTGAGGTTTGGGGTGGGATATTACATTTTAAAACAGGATAGGCAGAGAAGGCCTCCTCATCACGCTAGGGAACAAAGGGATTCCAGAAAGCTAGATCCTAAGGGGACCTCCTCTTTACCACTTACCTCAGTCAATGTCTGGTAACAGACGTTCACAATCTCCTGAGCAGTCTTGGTATACTGACTTTCAGGCCCTAAAAATGAAAAGAGAATGCCATTACCTTTGCAGACTTCAGTTCCAGAAATTTACATTCTGTCACCAGCGGTAGTGTCCCATTACCCTAGATCCAAAGAATCATGCTTCAGCTTTAACTTGGACTCTTGCTCTACTTTTGGAGGTAGAAAATTTCAAACACATACAAAAACAGAGACACTAATAAAATGAACTCCCATGTACCCATTACTCAATGTCAATGATTATCAATACATGGTCAGCCCTGTTTCATTTACACCAACTTTGACACTTCCCAAATTATTCTGAAGCAAATTGCAGCATTTCATTTCATCCATAAATTGTTCAGTATGTGTCTTTAAGGACTCTAAAAAAATAACTATGTATGATACTATAATGGTAGATACTTGTCACTATACATCTGTCAAAACCCACAGAATGTACAATACCCAGAGTGAACCCTAATGTAAACTATGGACTTTGGGTGATAATGATGTGTCAACGTAGGTTCATTGATTTTAACAAATGTACCACCTTAGTGGGGGAGGCTGATAACAGGGGAAGCTGAGCATGTGTAGGGGCACAGGGTATATGGGGACTCTGTACCTTCTGCTCAGTTTTGCTCTAAACTGCTCTAAAAAATAAAGTCTATTTAAAAAAAAACAAACAACTGTATTACACCTAAAATAGTTAACAATAATTCTTTAATATTATTAAACAGCCAGTCAACATTCAAATTTCCCCAACTGTTTTACAAATGTTCTTTTACATTTGATTTTTTGGAATCATAATCCAAATAAGGTCCACACACTGCATCTGACTGATGTAAGACACTTTAATCTATTAGGTGATTCTCAACCAAACTACACAGCTCCCCATACAGTTTTTGTCACAAGTTGCAAACTGGTGGCTTGCAGGTCAATCCAATTTTATTTGGCTCACAAAAAAATCAGTTCAGGTGGTGATCGTTTCATAATGTGCAGAAATGTCAAATCATTGTATTGTACACCTAGAACTAACATATTGTTGTAGGTCAATTATACTTCAATTAAAAAAAATCACTTCAGTTTGTGAAAATGGATTGAGCTGTGCACTCATAATATATACACTTTTCTGTATGTAAACTATACCTCAATAAAAAGTTAAAAAAAATCTTAGTTGGCAACATTCAACAATCAAGAGATTTCATATAAAAACCCAAATGTCTGGCTTCTCTTAAAAAAGTAAAAGATGTGGCAACACAGGGTTAACATTCTCATAATGCACCGATGGGCTGGATCTGAGTAGCAGCTGTCCCTTTTAGATAAGGCATGTGTTTCCCAGGTCCCTACCAGGGCTGCTTAATTCATTTACGCCCGGACCCTGAAGGCATCTGAGTTTTTACTCCCTGCCTTAATTGCTTTATAATATTCTTTAACATACTGTTCATTCACCTAATCATTCATAAAACATTTTTGAGTACCTTCTAGGTGCTAGGCACTAGACACAGAAAGGAGTAAGATATAGACCATATCCTCAAGAAGTTATGGTCTAGCACAGTGAGATAGACTATAAACAAATGGGGCAATACAATGCAGTGAAAAAATCTATACAGGGCTCAGTAGAGGCATAGAGGAGGAAGTAGCCAATTTGGGGATGTAAGAAGGAAAGCAGAATTAGGAAAGGCTTCTCAGAGGAGGTGATGCTTGAATTAAATGTACTATTTATCAGGACGTAAAGGATAAAAAATATACCACAAGTGAAGTTTTCGTGCCGTAACTACTCTATTGCAAGCTATTATACAAATAAATAAGTCTCCTTCAGTTAAAATCTCTCACAAGCATAGGTCATCTGTTCTTTTATTTATTTATTTATTTATGGCTGCACTGGGTCTTCGTTGCTGCATGCGGGCTTTCTCTAGCTGCGGTGAGCGGGGGGCTGCTCTCTTCGTTGCGGTGCACAGGCTTCTCATTGCCGTGGCTTCTCTTGCTGCGGAGCACGAGCTCTAGGCGCGCGGCTTCAGTAATTGTGGCACTCGGGCTTAGTAGCTGTGGCTTGTGGGCTCTAGAGCACAGGCTCAGTAGTTGTGGCGCACAGGCTTAGTTGCTCCGCGGCATATGGGATCTTCCTGGACCAGGGCACGAACCCGTGTCCCCTGCACTGGCAGGCGGATTCTTAACCACTGAGCCACGAGGGAAGTCCCAGGTCATCTATTCTTTATAAAAGATAAGTAAAGCTGTGTCCTCGCACAAGCTGACTGTGCCAAACACAAACCAGAAAGAAAACGCAGTCAACCAAAAGATATTCAGGACATGTATAGACAGCCAGAGCTGGCTCACAGTCAAGAACAGTCTGAGTGATAAGAAGACCGAAGCTGAAGTTTCTGAGTTCTAATCTTCTAGGGCCACCAGTAGGTTGGGTCCTCAAAGTACTGATGGACACAGACTGCAAAAGTTATCAGACAAGCTTTCATGTTGATAGAAATGCATGATGTTAGAGAAAACAGGCTGCATACAGGTTAGAGCCCTCCTTCACCAGGCCAGTACATCAGCTTATTGCAGTATCCTGGCTCTTATACCTACCTACCTGACTCATCCCTCAAACTCCAGCCTATAGAATAAGAATTCAGCTCTTCAGTTTTGAAACCTAAACATACACCAACGCTTTCAATATCTCAGTGCTCTCATAATACAAGGAAAAATTAGTTTATACATTTGCAAAGTTTTCTCTTACTTTAAACCATTTAAAAAATGTGACCTCGGGCTTCCCTGGTGGCACAGTGGTTGGGAGTCCGCCTGCCAGTTCAGGGGACATGGGTTCGTGCCCCGGTCTGGGAAGATCCCACATGCCGCGGAGCAGCTGGGCCCATGAGCCATGGCCGCTGAGCCTGCACGTCTGGAGCCTGGGCTCCGCAATGGGAGAGGTCACAACAGTGAGATGCCCGCGTACCGTGAAAAAAAAAAAAAGATGTGACCTCTTCATCACCCATTTTCTTTGCAACACACAACTCTAAAGAAATACCCACGGGCTTCCCTGGTGGCGCAGTGGCTAAGAATCCGCCTGCCAATTCAGGGGACACAGGTTCGAGCCCTGGTCTGGGAAGATCCCACATGCCGCGGAGCAATGAAGCCCGTGCGCCTAGAGCCCGTGCTCCATAACAAGAGAAGCCACCACAAAGAGAAGCCCACGCACAACAAAGAGTAACCCCTGCTCGCTGCAACTAGAGAGAGCCTGTGTGCAGCAACGAAGACCCAATGCAGCCAAAGATAAATAAATAAATAAATTTGTATTAAGAAAACCCTAAAAAAGTAAAATAAATACCCACTAATAAAACCCCCAGAATATAAAAAAATACTTACTTATATAGCTGACATACTTCTCTGTGTGTTTTGATTACTAGCTGTGTCTGTTCTCAGTTTCTGACAGTCCATGCTCTCAAGAGCTCCAAGGGTTTCAGCTATTTAACTCTATTATAACTCTATTATTAACTCTATTATATGCAAAGTGGCACTGAAGTATAATATTTTGGATCAAAGATGGTGGTGGAGTTGGCAAACCACTGTTAACATCACCAAAAACGGATAAAAATACAGATATTTTCTTAACCCTACCTATACCAGAAATTTGTTTGTTCATTTATTTATTTATTTATGGCTGCACTGGGTCTTCGTTGCTGCACACGGGTGGTGAGTGGGGGCTACTCTTTGTTGTGGTGCATGGGCTTCTCATTGCGGTGGCTTCTCCTTGCGGAGCACGGGCTCTAGGCGTGCAGACTTCAGTAGTTGTGGCACGCGGGCTTAGTAGTTGTGGTGCACGGGCTTAGCTGCTCCATGGCAAATGGGGTCTTCCTGGACCAGGGCTTGAACCTATGTCCCCTGCATTTGCAGGCGCATTCTCAACCACTGTGCCACCAGTTAAGTCCCTACACCAGAAATTCTTGAATGGAGTGATAATGAGTGAGATCCATGAACCCCTCAAACTGTAAACAGAATTCTGTATATAATACATATTTTTCTGAGTAGAAGATCCATAGTTTTCCATCAGATTCTCAAAGGGGTCCATAACCATCTCCATAATGCTAAAAATATTGCTCTATATTCTGCAGCAATCAGGTGCTTACCAAAAGTAGGATGATCAGGGCTTCCCTGGGCGCAATGGTTGAGAATCCACCTGCCAATGCAGGGGACACGGGTTCAAGCCCCGGTCCAGGAAGACCCCACGTGCCGCGGAGCAGCTAAGCCCGTGCGCCACAACCACTGAGCCTGTGCTCTAGAGCTTGCGAGCCACAACTACTGAGCCCACGTGCCACAACTACTGAAGCTTGCGTGCCTAGAACCTGTGCTCCGCAATGAGAAGCCACTGCAATGAGAAGTCCGCACACCGCAATGAAGAGTAGCCCCCGCTCGCTGCAACTAGAGAAAGCCCATGCACAGCAACGAAGACTCAACGCAGCCAAAAATAAATAAATAAACAAATAAAAGTAGGATGATCAGCTTTAAGTTTCTCAGCTTAGGAAGAGAAGAGTCATCCAGTGAAAAGACATACACAGACAACAGGGCCTCTGCGGGAATAATAAAGATACTGTGGCTATTGTGGGGAAAAAGAGGAGGCAGAAACTGAATTCCAATTTCCCGGTCTCTAAAGGATTACTATACAGAAAATCAGAATTTACGAAGAGTAATTTCCAGGATGACATGAAAATGAATGTGAAAGATAAAACTGTCTATGAATTATCACTGTGCCCTACAGGAGAACAAGTGACCCATTTGCAAAACGAAATGTTTTTCTGAATAATTTTTTCTTCTCTCTCCTTATCTAGTAAACCATGGCAAAGCAACTGCAAATATCTAAGAAATATATTTATATTTATACTTTGCCTCATTCATAAGGATTGGCAGTAGCCTACAGAATCACATGTAATTCAAATCAAATGTCCTTAAATAGTGATAATTCCAATGACAGCTTTGGAAAGTTGATATTCCACCAAAATCAAAGAAAATTCCTTTTGTCATTTCTAAGTTAATTTTCCTCTTTAGTAATGTC